GTTGCTTGCGAGAAGTGTAAGAGTCCGCGTCCGTGGAGTCGGAGTCGTATATCTGGGGTGAGTGTGTTCCGGAACGGAGTTCATTCGGTGTGGGGGAACGAGACCGGGCATTGCCTCTAGGTGTGCGCAGGAGACGGGGCTCGGACGCCATGATGGATTGGTCCCGGCCTCGGGGCCTGGTGCGGGTCGAGGTGAAAAACTCCTGCATCGAGGGGGTACCCCGCTGTGAGGCTTGCTTGTCCTCTTTGCTGCGTTTGGACATCTTGTGTGACCCAACTTAGAGGGGTATAAGTCGGTATAAGTGGAGTGTAAGGATGAAACCCACGGAGCTCGCTGCGTTTGCTTCTTACTCCGCCATGAGCAGGACACGCCCCCCCAGATTCCCTTCTTAGTGTTGCTGAGTGACACCTCTGTAGTAAAAGTTGTGTGTAGTACAGAATTTGCTTATAGGTTTTTATCTCAACTCGTTTCAGGACAAAGCACCATCCCTTCTTCAAGGAAACACAGGAGCATCCTTGGCATAAAGTGAATAATTACATTTAATCTCCTGGTGGTGGACATAACCGCCCCTCCTGACTGATTAATACTTTTGCGACTGTGTTTGTCACAGGCAGTATTTGATTAAAACAGAAGCAAGGTTATAAATACTGTACAGATTAAAATGAGCAAAAATATAATATATTAATATACATATAAATACATACCCATAAAATATAATTATCAATGAATAATTATGCTTTTATGAACCCAAGATACAGCTTAGAAGAAAGCTCTATATGTCCCCGGAAAATGGTGTAAAATTCATTTCAGTACAGCGTTGCATGGCTGAATAAGTGTCAGTCAAAGTTGCAGTGCTGAATACTGGAAAATCGTCTGTACAGGAAGGGGGTTTAACACACCAGGCTTCAAGTGGTTAAATATTTGTAGCTTATGCTACGTGAATGGGAACATGTAACAAATATAAAATAGGTGTTATCCCAGTTTGGCTTGGAAAGTGGAAATACATTTTAAGGCACTCTGTTAACAGTCATGTGACTATAATTGGAAAATCTCATTGGACTCACTGGCTGGAAATAACTCACCTTTTACAAAACAAAGATCCTTATCATGGTGCGTTGGCTTTGTGAATTGAAACGTTTCTTATATCCCTTATGTCGTGAATTTATCCAAATAGCTTGTCTGACCTCTAGTGGTCAGAAGTGGTACTATTTCACTGACGATAATATAATCTCTCTCTCTCTAAAAATCTCTCTCTTTCGAAAAATCTCTCTCGAAAAAAAAAATCTCTGTAGTTTCATTGAGACCCTTAGGGAATCAGTACCTGATTCCTGTATCCAGTGTCTCTGCTGTACATAGTTACATAGTTTGTTAAATCTGTACGGTTGATAACACTTACAAATTTGTTGGAATGGAATTATATTTAAACTTGAAAACCACTATTGTGGTGTGTAGAAAAGTGCCTTTACACACTAATGTTAAAAAGTTTCCTGCTGGCACCTCACCCCAAAACATGTAGCAATAAAAGTAATTGATGGCCTATAAGAGGATTCTGTACTGCACACAACTTATACCAAAGAAATGTTACTTACCACCACTCAGATGGGAACCCACACTCTTCATTCCTGTTTTATGCTTGCATTCTTACAAAGGGATGAATTGCCTTTGCAGCTTCTCACCCTTCTGATACTTTGATGCACTACCTAGGCATACACCTATATGGCAGAGAAGGGTAGGAGGTGGTTTTAGTTTTGCACAGAGGCGAGTTTTAAAGTACTTTTTATTATGAGTAATACATGTATTCTTATTCTTGTTATTGTATTAAATGTGAAGATTTGCATATTAGATTAACAACTTATGAGGTAAGATACACAAAGTAGTGCATTGTTTGACCAACTCATATACATGCATTGTGAGAATGAACAATAAAGCAAAACAAAAACAGAGAGCAGAGCCTATGAACTGTATGTAATCTGCAAATATGGCTGCCTCCATGTACAAGCAGGTCCAATACAGCTTAGAAGAAAAAGTCAACTGCAGGTCAAATACACCTGTCAAAGAATTTTAAATGATCTCAAAAGCATCTCAAACTGATGCCAAACTAATGCCATCGACACAAGCCCAAATCCCGCCGATACAGGCCCTAAAAACAGCAAAGCTACAAAGTAAAAGCAGGACTGTCCCATAACGCTGCCTCTGTGCTAATGCTGATGAGGAGACCAGGCTTCTCTCCTCTTTCCAGTCTTATCAGCTGTACTTGTCAGGAAGCCAAGTGAGATCAGGGGATGTGTTAAGCATGTACTATGCAACTTGCCTGAGCTCTTACGGGTTCATTCTCATTACATCAATGTGGGAAAAGGGAGTCCCTGATCTCCTAAGTTCTCCTCCATCTTCCAACAATGTCTTTCTCCGCTGTACAGTGAAAACGTCAAAGTTCTATTTAGATCCCTGATATCTGCATAAAAAAGGACATGTCAATTCTGTGTACACTGTCATCAGAGGGCTTTTGAGATTTTTGTATTGGTTTGCACAAATAATAATTTTGAAGCTATTTTGAAAATATATAATTTGGATAAACATTGGTGCAACTATTATTAGACATACAGAGGCTTTTAAAGGAGAACTATGAGGTGAGTGCTTTTCACTCACCTCATAGTTCTAGCCGACCTGTGACAATGAGACTGTCACAGGTTGGCTTAGTAGATCGGGAGGTGAGCGAACACATACCGGCATTCGCTCACCTCTCGATCCTGTCACGGCTCTCTGCCATGCAAGGGGAGGGGGTGGATTCCCCGCTCCGATCCTCCAGCGCTGACTGGCGGAATGGACGGGGGAGGGGACGGGTACAGCTGACTCTGCCTCTAGATAGGCAGAGCCAGCTGTCAGTCACGCAGCTGGGCGGATCCCGGCATAATTGTCTCAGTATACCGCGAGCTGCAGCGAGCAGTATACTGCGGCGTCTCAGGATAGCTTGCGGTATACTGAGCCTAGGGTGACGGGAGGACGCTAGTTTGTGTCCTCCCGTTACCCTAAGGAGAACTATGGGGAAAAGCCTTAACCCCATAGTTCTCCTTTAACTCTGTAGTTCCTGTGCTTGGGGGGCATCTCACAGATGTTCAAGACTCTGTGTGTATAGGTGAAAACACAGTGTATATGGTCTGGCCAACTACTGTATAAAATTAGAGGTAGTAAATATGTAACCATTTGATACGTTTTTGTTGTTTTGACACAGATTTTGGATCTGCAGTTGTCGTCTCTCATTGAACGTCAGGTGAAACAAGCTAAGGTGGAGCAGAAAAAGAAATTCAATCCTCAAGATGTTCGTTTGGACTGCAGGAACTGTGTCATTGCAGTTGGGCACGGGAATGATTTTCGGGTTGTGGAAGGTATTCACCATGTCAATGTCAATCCTAACTTTAAGTAAGTGTACATTAGGAAATGGCATTTATGGGGAAATAGTTATATGAAATGTATCTGATTTACTTTTGTGTTTTATTAAAGAATCATTCCACCCAAGGTATTAATGAGATTTTCCCACTGCAGACCCTGAGAAATCTATATACAATATCTGACATATACAGTATATTGAAAACTAGAATATAATTTTTAAATATTGACCCTTTAGTAAGGTTTATTAGTTTGTTTCATTTTTAGACTACCCATGAAGTGTAGTGTCACAAGGCTTATACAAAACAGATTACAGTACATGCATAGAGGCATAAAGAAAAGGTGGCACAAGAAAGAGTATATAAGTAACAGTAGCAGTAGCTGCAGTGTTGCACTACTGTGTTTAGCCATCACTAATGGCAGAACATTTGTAGTTAACGCATTTCAGGCATGATACCAAACTGATCAAATGGAAAAAAAGAAATCTACCATAAGCAAATCAAGGAGCCTGCCATTGCTAACAGTTCCTTCTGAAAATGCTAGTTGCCTGGTGGTCATTTACATTTTCATCTGTTTATAGTTGAAACAGGCTAAAATACTGTACACAGTAGTGTAACTACATATAACAAAGTGCCAAAGCAAAATGTTGATACCCCACTCTGTGCTCCCCTTTCCAGTGAGATTTCAGTGGAACCTGGCATTTTTCACCACTAACAACAGGCCCCTTGTACACTTCTTAGTACTTACTACTTATTAGTTCTCCGTGGTGACCACTGCATCCCTCCTGTTTCCACACCTTTTTGCGCTGATGGTCACCGAACAGCCCCCTTAATAAAAGCACCCTGTACATTGGTGCTTAGCATAAATGGTAGTTGTCAGTGTTGATGCCCCCATTACATTTTTAGCCAGTATTATTGCCCTGTTACATTAGTTGTAAGAATGCAAATGCCCCATTACATTGGTGGTCAGTTTAGGAAGAAATTCCCCTTTTACTGGTAGTCAGTTGAAAAAGAAATGACCCCTTACATTAATGGTAAGTATGCCAGTAGGACCGGCCTGTTAAGTTGGTGGTCAGTTCAATGAAGATCACCATTGGCGTTAGTTATTATGTGCTTGTGGTGGTGCAGAAGAGATGGGATGCGATGCTTGTATGCCAATGGCTTTTTTGCAGCCATGCTGTAGCTCCACCCCTGTATACACAAGATGTAGGAACCTTCCGTTTACAACTGTCTTATTTGATAATATTTCTAGAGTCTATTATGAAGAATACACAGCGCCTGTTGATCTGGGAAAAAAGATGGAAGACTGGGTCCCTGGAGGAGCCATCAGATGCAGGTTTTGTGAGGTAGTGTGGAATTTTTGCACTAATTGCTGGTTCAAAATTAACAGGTTTATTCACAAAAGGGTGAAGAGTTTGGAGAAGGCAGGAGAAGTGAACAATCTAGGACAACATAGCTGAACTGGCAAGTGAGCTGAATTAGAGAATTTTTTCCAAATCAGCTATGTTGCCCTAGATTGTTCACTTCTCCTGTCTTCTCCAAACTCTTCACCCTTTAGTGGATAACCCTGTAAAAATCTTAGTTCTCCAGTCCATATTTATTTTGTACCTGAGCTATATGTCATGTATTTGCCCCAAAGCCCCGCAGAATTTTAAATGTTAAAATTGTCAGAGGGTTTTTATTGTATTTCATATTTTGTTATTCTCTGAATGTCAGAAGAACATTAAGGGATGCCAACAATTAAACATGTATTAAAATAGATATTTTATTATATAGGGAGACGGTACTGAAAAACAATATACTGTATAGAACATATAACAATCTTCCTATAGGAGTTAAAAGGATTCAACTCCCAAACAGTATTTGTCATGCTCACCACCACTATGACAAGTCTGGCCATGTCAGTGAAGTTCATCCAAATGCTTGTTTTGGGCTAGGGGGCACAATAAAAAAAAAAATACTCACCGGATCCTTGGTCCTACCTGGGCTACTAGACCAATCCCCGCAGCCTCTTCGTCCCCAGGCTCCAGCGGTGTAAGGACCTGTGAGTCATCACATCTAATGCAGGTACATTAGACTTGAGGATGCCGAGGAACATACCACAGCTGAAGAGGGAGAGAGGTGAGTGCTGACTGCCACAGGACTGAGGATCAGGCGAGTATATCTTCTTTATTCCGTTCCCTAGACCAAAACGAGCAGTTAACCCTTGCAGTGCGGGGGTAGGTCCACTGCAAGGGTCAACTTTTGAAAATCCTGGCATTCATCTTTACTAGTCCTTAATGTCTTGGTAACGTAGTTGCCTTTCCACATTTTTACACTCTCCAGTAACCTGATGTTCTCTTCCTTTCAGCGGAACTGGGGCATTATGATGATTTACAAAGGAGTGTCTCTTCCAACTGTAGGCATCAAGAATTTTATAATAACAACTCCTGAGGGGCGGAGGCCCTACAAACAGTGGAAGGATGTGCCTTTTCCATTAGAGCTTTTTAATTACAATCAGTATTGTGAAGAGAACAATTTATTATTTGTTGATGATGATGATGACGACGATGACTAAGTATGAAGATTTATGGATGAAGTTACCTTTCTTAAATCAACATCCGATCATTACTAAATATGTCAAAGGTGGGTGGGAAGCAAAATGGTGGGTGGGAAGCAAAACAGTTTTGTATCAAAGTTCTAACTTCATTCTCTATGCTTCTGTGAAACAAATTAATATTTATGGTTATAAAATTTTCTTTTATCAAAGGTACTGAATACCAATATATCAACGAGGGATCTTTAACATTTGTCATCCTCTGAACCTCTCTAACAATGACAGGGTGTGGTAAAAAATATAGAACTTAAAAAAAAGCCTGTGGATGGAGTTAAGGATGCCATAAGCATTAAAAAAGGGAAGGAGTCCAACATGTTTCCTATAATTCAGTGTTTGGGGGCCAATAAACTGGATCTTTTTACATTCATGTTTTTTATGCTGTAAAATGTTCATACTACCTCAGTTTTCTGAGCAGAGGCAGAACTACAAATGGTATCAACCCAAAGGATATTAACTGGCCCTTCCTTGTCTGTCTTAAAGGCTAAGTTCCCATTTCTGACCATTTTTCATGTGACAACCTTATTTATGTAAAAAGGTGTGTATTTATTTTTATTTTTTGTAAGAAGTGGAATTATCCTATAAAGTGGACTGGAAACTGTGCCCAAAAAAGTGAATGGTCAAAGACTAGTCACTGATAATCCCAATGAGCTACCTGAAGCTGATATTTTGCCCACAACTGACTTTCTATGCCACATTCCACGCTGTGATTCTGTGTGACACCAGCCATCTCAGTAGAGGACCAGATATTTACTTATTGATGTCAAACCTGCTCTCCCTTCCCTGATGGCTTATGATCTAATTAAAGTGATGAACAGGGAACTGATGACTAGTGTAGGAAAATAACAACAAGCAGTAGAAACGTTGGATCCACAAACAGCAGCACAGGATGGGGAGACATCAGTTGGTGGCAGGAGAGGTGGAGGAAGCACAGATCTACAAAATGAATTAGGAGCAGGGAGATCCTAGCACTGCAGGCAGGGGCCGGATTTATCTCTGCTGCCCCATGGCCAGCCTCCTCAATGCGCCCCCCTCCCCACCAAATCCCCTCCCCCCCCCCATGGAGAATGACAGTTACCTGCAGGCTGCATACAAGTGATCTCGGCGAAACAAGAAGAAAGCAACTACCCGCCCAGCGCCCGGAACTGCATGACCCTGGGGGTGGGGAGTAGGGTTGCCACCTGTCTGGGATTCACCTGGACAGTTCGGGTTTTGAATGTTGTGTCCGGGTTTCGTGGAAGCTGAAACCCAGACACAAGATGTGAGGCAGACATGGGCAACCAAAATTAGGATAGGGGATACTGGCCCCCCACTGAAAATAGTCTTGACTGGGATATTTACATATGAATGGGTGGCGCTATTTACATATGAAGAAGCCGCGACTCATTCTCCCCCAAAAAAATGTGTGCGTCACTAGAGTGTTCGGGTTTCGATGTAAGAATAAGTGGCAACCCTAGTCGGGAGATAGGAATTCTACACCCCTGCTGCCCCTCTACTCCCTGCTGCCCGAGACCGGGCCTTGGTTGGCCTTGTGGGAAATCGGGCCCTGACTGCAGGGTCCTATGTACAGCTTCATCTCCATGAGGTCCTCAGACCAACATAAATCTTGTCTGAAAAGCAGTCAGCAGCAGTGGGCGGGATTTGCCTTAGATGATCTTGCACTGCAGATATGCAGCTATGACAGGCAAGACAATATCACTGTAATTTCTCATAAGGAGTTCAAGGCAAAAGTTCATTTAATTTAAGGTTCTACTTAGCTAAATGTTACTAATAAAACAGAATATGCAACTTAGATAGATTAGCTTTTTTTCACATTACCAAGGGAGTCAGTCATTTTTCCTGTGTCAAGGTTCCCAAGAATTGAAGTCATGAACTGGAGAATCAGTAGGCTTAGTAGAAATTCCATTGTTGCCCAGCATGACATGCACTGACATTCAATTGCACTTTGTATTATAATCACAGGAGAACAAATCCCAACTTGTGAAGTCTACCAAGGATTCCAATATAATGGATCTTATATGTGTGCGACGATATATCAGCACAGCTCAGTATATGTATATACATGTAGTAGGAAAAATTTATTGTTGACCATAGCAACTAATCAAAATCCTTCATTTTCAAACGTGAACTGCAGAAATGGCAGTTAGCAGCTGACTGCCTGTTTAGGGGAAACAAAAGGGAGAGGCTAAACAATTCCTGAAGACCTGTACAGTAATGTTTGTAATATTATGTAATGTATGCTTTCAAATGTATTAAACCAACTGCTTGGTTCTGTTTTCTATTTTGTGGAGTCTTAGTCAAGTTTTAAGGTACCTATATATTGCATTGGCAAACATTGCTTTAAATACCCAACAAATCCCCTCCCCCCCCCCATGGAGAATGACAGTTACCTGCAGGCTGCATACAAGTGATCTCGGCGAAACAAGAAGAAAGCAACTACCCGCCCAGCGCCCGGAACTGCATGACCCTGGGGGTGGGGAGTAGGGTTGCCACCTGTCTGGGATTCACCTGGACAGTTCGGGTTTTGAATGTTGTGTCCGGGTTTCGTGGAAGCTGAAACCCAGACACAAGATGTGAGGCAGACATGGGCAACCAAAATTAGGATAGGGGATACTGGCCCCCCACTGAAAATAGTCTTGACTGGGATATTTACATATGAATGGGTGGCGCTATTTACATATGAAGAAGCCGCGACTCATTCTCCCCCAAAAAAATGTGTGCGTCACTAGAGTGTTCGGGTTTCGATGTAAGAATAAGTGGCAACCCTAGTCGGGAGATAGGAATTCTACACCCCTGCTGCCCCTCTACTCCCTGCTGCCCGAGACCGGGCCTTGGTTGGCCTTGTGGGAAATCGGGCCCTGACTGCAGGGTCCTATGTACAGCTTCATCTCCATGAGGTCCTCAGACCAACATAAATCTTGTCTGAAAAGCAGTCAGCAGCAGTGGGCGGGATTTGCCTTAGATGATCTTGCACTGCAGATATGCAGCTATGACAGGCAAGACAATATCACTGTAATTTCTCATAAGGAGTTCAAGGCAAAAGTTCATTTAATTTAAGGTTCTACTTAGCTAAATGTTACTAATAAAACAGAATATGCAACTTAGATAGATTAGCTTTTTTTCACATTACCAAGGGAGTCAGTCATTTTTCCTGTGTCAAGGTTCCCAAGAATTGAAGTCATGAACTGGAGAATCAGTAGGCTTAGTAGAAATTCCATTGTTGCCCAGCATGACATGCACTGACATTCAATTGCACTTTGTATTATAATCACAGGAGAACAAATCCCAACTTGTGAAGTCTACCAAGGATTCCAATATAATGGATCTTATATGTGTGCGACGATATATCAGCACAGCTCAGTATATGTATATACATGTAGTAGGAAAAATTTATTGTTGACCATAGCAACTAATCAAAATCCTTCATTTTCAAACGTGAACTGCAGAAATGGCAGTTAGCAGCTGACTGCCTGTTTAGGGGAAACAAAAGGGAGAGGCTAAACAATTCCTGAAGACCTGTACAGTAATGTTTGTAATATTATGTAATGTATGCTTTCAAATGTATTAAACCAACTGCTTGGTTCTGTTTTCTATTTTGTGGAGTCTTAGTCAAGTTTTAAGGTACCTATATATTGCATTGGCAAACATTGCTTTAAAAAGGCTAACTAGATTATTTAATCTGGCCATAGCACAATCAGAAAGCATTCTTTGTTCACCTGGCTACACTTAACTTATGATAACAGAAATCTGATTGGTTACCCCAGGTTTGTACAGCCACAGACACAAAAGAATCCTACATAAAGCCCCGGACAGCAATTGTTAAAAGTGAATCAAAAAAAGGGTGTCAGGGCAAAGTTACTAATTCATGCATATCTGCCGGGTACTGCCATCTTGCCAGTAGTCAAAAGCTTGGGTCATGAAGTCACAGAGATCGGTCACAGACAATTAATTCTGCAGCTCAGACCCATTCTAAAGGTGGAAATACACCTTACAATTATCGTTCAGTTTTATTTGTCCCGTCATCGCACCCTCGTTCAATTTCCACCCAATAGCCCGCCATGCACAGACCTATGTAGATTTCGGTAATCGTTCATCAGCAATACTAACTGGCCAAATTTCGTCGATCAACAGAACAGATTTTCGTTCAATTTTGGTCCGTTTCCACAAAAGTTTTCTAGTCTGCCCGTTAAACCAAATCCGGCCACTTATACAGTAATTGCGACCGTGCATTCCCATCAACTGGCCGATTATTGCACCAAAAACAGATCACATTTGATTTTCAAACGATAATTGAAAGGTGTCTGGCACCTTTACACTGTACTCTCAGCCAGAGCTGAGACAGCGGGGCAGGTAATTGAATCAGTCTTTTTACAAAGAAGTACACCTAGACAAAACAGACAGCAAATATTACAAGTGTTTTCCCTGGGATTGGAAAGTCAAAGGATGAGTAAATGTTGATACAGTATATTAAAACAAAAACCTAGTAACTAAGAATGTGCATTCACTCGGCCTCACTTTCTGGCTTTTTACTGACTGACTTTAGCTGGTTAGCAGCAAGGCGACAAAAGTCTATGGCACAGACATTCACAGTTGATGGTTTTCCATTAAAAACGCTGTTCATAGCCATGTTGCTGAGAACACAATATACTTTATATTATGTCCTCTGCAACTGGGAAGCAGGCAATGCTTTTGATAAAAACGAACTGTCGACCATACATACTGACTGCTGACAGTGACTACATTGTTTCTGGCTCTGGCGTGGCTGTCACTGGTAGAACCAGAAGCAGTGGTCAGGTAATTAACCACAGATACCAATGATATCTTTTTGCCACTTGCCACTAATGTAAGGGACCACTTTACCACTGACCATTTTTAAAGTGTTCCTTTGATTGCAAATTGGGATAATTAGTGTTAGTGGTTACTTTTCTGGCCACTGGGTCTGCCAAGTGATGTCCACTCTGGAA